TATATATATATATATATATATATATATATATATATATATATATATATATATATATGTGGTTTTAGGGGTCTTCAACAACAGGCTGATATGCATGCAAGGTTAAAACGCACTTTCTTGGTCTTATACATTTATTTTTACATAATTATCCCAGCGACTCCCATATGATTCGTTCAGCGATTCATTTGTTCCCAAACCCCTCCTTAGCGCGAAGCTAATCTGATTGGTCCGATGACCCAGTCTGTTGCGATTGGTCGACATCGTTCAGCATGTGACAGAGGCTTTGAAATATCAGTCAAGAGTATATGAGAGCCTAACGCAGGAATGCAATAAATGAATGCAGTTAAACACCAGCATGTTGCTCTACTCTTAAACCTAACCCCAAGTAATAACAATGACACACATTGAGTATTAATCCACACAGTGGCAAAAAGTTGACCGCGCCACATATGTGTTGGAACGGCTGATGGTGGCCATAGCGAAGCCAAACAGCAGAGGATTGCCATCTTATAAACGCATTTAAAATCAATAAAGGAAGAAGCACGCGTCACGTCTTTAACGTGGTTCTGGATGCGATATGTGAGCAGCTCCATCCAGATTTAACCTGAGAGATACAGTACAACCACTGATCTATAATAGATGCGTGATTACAAGCCACGCTGAGAGATTACAAGTTACAACACACAATTAACCACATATTTTGCAAACGACACAAAACGAGGCAACAATTTTAATGACACTTACGTGTTACGATCCGGAGGAAGAAGAAACTGCCAATGTTACTGACAAAGTCCCTGTCAAAGTCTGACAAAGTCCAATAGTCTCTGCTGCTCCTTCAATGGGGTATATGCCGAAGCATGCTAATAGGACTTTTAATTTGCCAGTAACCTGGGTTAAGCTCTTCCGGCACATTGAATGTCAATGCAAAAACCGGCGCGTTTAAGGTCTGTTTTCTTTAAAAATCAGCGATCTCCACTAGCTGAGTGATATCCGATTTAAAGTGGGTCCTATATAGTACAAGAAGCGCTGCTTTAAATTACATTTCCCCCAGCCATGTCTTTATAATATGAGCTTTTTATTTTAACCCAGTATATTCAATGGAGCTTCTGCGCTAGCCCTGATCATTCTGACGGGCGCGTGTGAGTAAACGGCTTTTTGTCTCGTTTTACGTTTAAGCAACTAAATAAATACCAAGGTTTGTTTAACTGAATGTATTTTAATGATATTACAACATCCATGCTGTAAAAGGAACCGTATAAAATAGAAAAAAGTTAACAATAACAGGTCACCGGAAGTTTATTAGTATGGGAAACACACTAGCTCGGCATATAGCCTATAGCAAATTGCCGGCGAATCCCATGCTGCAGCATAGGTTATTGTATCAAAAATCTGAAAAATGACAGGATCACACACAGCACACGGTTGGCTGTACTGTTGTGAAAATAAACTTTAACCCTTTATTCCCCACAGCCAGGGCATAGAGGCAACCCAGTCTGCGACAACTCCTCACTTTCGTCCACGATGATCCCCCCACTGCTCAAGTTCTCGCTGTCGTACGCGCAATCAGAACCCCGTCTTACGTTTTCACTTTCAGTTTAAGGGCAGCATGATCATCTTATGCCTAGAGCGCCAGTTCAGTTTGCTCCGGCCCCACCCGCAACCAAATCTCTGACAGTGATCGTCATCTTCGCCTCATGATCAGTCCCGTGATCCCCTGCGCCACCGCTAGTGTGTGGAGGGAAAGCACGTGCACATTTTAAAAGAACTGTAAGTACATATTTGGAGATGTATTGTATCGACGTTGATGCAATCCAACAAAATATCCGAACCCACCTCAATTTGTTTATTCGACTCTATATTGAGTCAAATAATTTGCTAAGGAATCAATAGTTTTAGACATGCCGCACTTTTAGATTTAAACCTCAGCTGGATGTTTTCATTCCCTTAGAGCTGTTTACACATTGCACGGAACTAGGGTTGTAACGGTATGAATTTTTTACGGTATGATAATCGTCTAACACAATACCACGGTTTGACGGTTTCGCGGTATACGGTATGTTACAAATGTTACAAAATAATAGAACAGTGAAGCAAATTTGACTTTTTCCAAATAATATATTTTCAGTTACTATAAACAACACCACTTACAATAAACAGATAAAAAAATAAGAAAATAATAAATACTGTGTCAAAGTCCAAATAAAGTCCAAATAAACATGGTGCAAATCCTCAGTAAAAAAATAGATATAAATATTTACTATACTATAAAAAGTTACATAACGAAACTAGATTCAATATGGAACATCCTTAGGTTTTATGTGCCAGCATGGATATGGTTGTCTGTGGATTTGGATATGGTTGTCTGCAATGCAGACAAACAGCTGCACTTTTATTTGCGTCTTTTGAAAACAGCAAGAGCAGCAGTTTGTCTTTGCTGTGTCACTGTTTTGTCATGTTTCTGTGCTGCTGTGCATGCAAAAGTACTTAGTATGAGAATTATTTCATGCAAAACTTTTTTTTTTGCGTTTTATTTAGCCGCGCATAAATGTATGCCTATCTCTCATTCCGTGTTGTTCAAAAAGCTCACTGTTGGGCCACAAACAAAAGCGAAACCTATGCTTATTGGTTGTGATATAGCGAGTTTGAACCAATCTGGGCATGGAGGAGGGACAATGCATCAATGTCTGGTTTGTCCGGAGACACAGTGACGAGCGTTTCTTTGTCAAATCAGCGTTGTCAAATGTTGATGACGTAACCGCACTGATTCCGGAGCCTCTGAAAGTCTGCATTATGTGATACAGCACTGGAAAGCTGAGATTCTCTTCTTTATGCCAATCTTTGAATTGTATGAATCGGATCAGCGGATCAAAAGTTATTAAACATTTAAGAGCAATACTTATTTTTAGCCTCGGGCGGCTGTCTCGGTCTTTAAGGGTTAAAACCGTTGATATGCAATTGTTCATGGTATGATAATCGTGCACGTTCAAATCGTGGCAGACCGTCATACCGGTATATTGTTACAACCCTACACGGAACCCATAATAGGTGCTCTTTAATAACTCATTTCTGATAACTGATTTATTTTGTCCTTGTCATGAGGTGTGAACCTATACTGGTCTCACTGTTCGGTTCGGTTATGATTATCATGCCTTTGATTTGGTTCAATTCGATATCTCGGTGCATTGACGATGCTTTCTATATACAGTGTTATATTTTAGGGCGGAGGCTATAACAAGCTGTCTGTATAAACACACAGACACACAGTACCACACTGTCTCTCATTCAAACACATACACAAACATAGACAGCACCAAACAAACAAACAAACACACACACACACAAACACACACACACACACACACACACACACACTTAAGCCCTAGCAACAGGGAGCGCTT